TTTTATTTGTGCATATTAACAAAAGATAATAATACTTGACAAATAAAATACTTTATAATACATTTAAGTTCACATTTCTTAACTTGTAAATAAATTACACATACACAATACACTTACATTGATACATTATACATTTGCTATTATTATACATTGCTATACATGATACATATTATATTTGATCGCAATTCGATTTGGTTGTAATTATTTAAGTCTCATCCCCATTTGTAAATTTGTACCCCCACTCCCGGATACTTATTTGTAATAGCGTAGACTTTAAATTCCCGCAATTTATCGCTTTCGAATTATACCATGGTTAGACCTAGGGTTGGCATGTACATAAAATCAAGCGCTAGATAACCTAATACAAAGACAAATACATGAAATCAATACACAATCACACTTACACCCCTAGGGTAATCCCACTCGTTGCCTTCCAAAATGGGCCATGCTTGCACGTCGAGTTTCTTTGACAAAACAATTCAAATGATCATAAGTCCCTCGATGACGCTTTCGAAAGTTGCCTATCAAAATGATCATAGTCCCTTCAAGCAAATTGCCAAAGACACTTGGCACCATTGCATTCATGGTCCATACGATGACCCGCGCCTGTCCCATTAAAACATCCTAAACGCAAGATTGTCCACCAAATACAATGGTGGAACAAAATTGTTAAAAAAGGGTTAAAACATGAGAAAAACCTTTGAGTACATTAGGGGTAGACAAAACTCTTAGTTACTTGATCGACTTGCAAAAACACTTGCCTATTTTACAAACCACACTCCACAAACACTTTCAAAACAAAAACATTTGAAACATCTTTTCGAAAAGATACACACCTTCGTATATACTCAAACACGAGTCATTACAACGGTTGCCGAAACAAAGGCGTCTATTTCAAAACATTTTCAAAAAACACACACACACACACACACACACACCATTTTCAAGCAATCAAAAATCAAGGCAAGTGATCTAAAACCAAGTAACTAAGAGCCCATGGATAACCATGGATGAAAAGGGTGCTAATACCTTCCCTTTTCATAATCTACCCCCCGAACCCACGAAACATCTCAAAAGGTTTTTCCTGTGCTTTTTTAACCTTTCCTTTAGGATAAAATAAAAAGTCGGTGGCGACTCTTGCTAAACCGAACAAGTGCGAATACAAATGCAAAACCTCAAGTCAGTTCTCCCACCGTATCACATCAAGGTTAAAAACACTTAGAATTTTTCTAAGTATTTAAAACTTTGACTTTTTTGTGGACTTTCTTGACTTTCTTGATTCTTGATGATCAAGTTTGATATTTTTGAATTTCTTGATGATCAAGTTTGATATTTTTGAATGTATTGATGAATTTTGATCTTTGAAATTCAGTTGATCAAAAAGTCAAAGTTTGACTTTTTGTGTATCAGTTGATCAAATTTCAACTATCAATCCATTGATCTTGAGAAATGATTTTAGACATGAAATTAGGTCAAAATGTTGTGTTTGAGTCCTTGAGATCATGCTTCAATCCATTAGGTCATGTACTAGGTCAAAAGTCACTGATCAATCATTCTCAATCAAAACCCTAATTTTGACCATTTTGCCCCTTTGGGGATTTGAATGTTTTTCTTGAGGCATTATGATCAAACCTTGATCAATTGATAAATATGACCTCAAATGTTGATTTTAGCCAAAAATCATGAAGTTTGACTGTATATTAACCACAATTCACTTTTTACCTAATACAGCTGATTTTCAATCATTTGAGCAATTGACCAAGCAATTGACTGAGCAATTTTAAGACACAAGGCTTGAAACTTGGTATGAGAAATCTTGAAGACTTAGGATGAATCATGAAAGTCACTTGAGGCATCAAAAGTCTAATTGTCCTTGAGAAAACCAAAACCCTAATTTGGAGTCTCAATGCTTAGGAGGTAAGCTTGTCTGATCAAACCCTTGAGAACCCTTGAGCATTTGAGATCTTAGGTGAGAAAAGTCTTGAGAAAAGAGAGGAAAAATTTTGGGTTACAACAGATAATATCATATATTTGGAAAACAATTATTTCTTAGTTTATTTTACTAATGAAGAAGACTACTTCAAGGCTTTAAAGGACAACCCTAGATTGATATATGACCACTATCTTGTGGTCAGAGAATGGAGCTCAAACTTCTATCCTAGTACTTCACCTATTGAGACAACAATAATATGTGTACGAAATATAGACCTCCTAATAGAATACTAAGATGCTAAAGTGCCCCACTTCATTGAACCACACAGGAAAAAAGTAAGGTTGGCAAAAATACTTTCTTCCAAGAGAAAAAGAGAAGCAAATACCTTAGAATAATTGTAGAGGTATAAAATAACAAACTCTTACTCCCTTGTTCGAGTTGAAGGAAATAGTTTACTTAGTCAAATACAAAGGACTTCATATGTTGTGTCATACATGCAATAAATTTGGACACTATGTGGAAGGATGCCAAAAAAAGCAACAACGGGAGGCAAAAATAAGAGCAAAAACAACGATAATATCAACCAAGTAGGAGATAATGACAATATATTAATATAATATAATAATCAAGTATTATTGGTATGTGGATGGTTGTTGAGAAGCCAAGAAGGCAAAGGCGAGGTAAAGACAATGACCACTTTAAATGAGTTAGTGGTAGCGGCGAAAATAAAACAAACATGGGTAATATATTTCAAAATTTAGAAAATATGGATGGCATTAGTGAGTGTTAGGTAGAAAATAATAAACACATTATTATGGGAAAAATAATGGGCGACTTTCAACAACAGGCACACACGAGAAACAACAAAGGAAAATGGATTGAAGGAAAAGGAAAATGAGTTAAATCATGGCGTAGCTCAAGAGAAACAATCACATAATGAATTGAATGATACACGTGGAAAAGACATCACATTGATTATCAACCACAAGATAATAAAACATATAAATAAGAATAATAAATAAGACATTAAAATGAATAGCGATAACAAGAATTTTTGAGCAACACACCAATAACAACTAAATTCCAAAGTACAATATGGGACATCAACACTTCTTGGTCTAAGAGTTCACTAACAATCAAACAAGTACTACAAGAGATATTGAGCTTCACCAATGATTCCAACCACTAGATTTGTATAAATTAGGTCTAACCACATCTCTAAACACGACAACTAATGTGCAAACACTTACACTAAAATTGGTGACAGTAAAATAAATATGGAAATGGTTGTGGAGACTCTCGTTGGGTCTATTAAATGGAGGGGAATTTAATATGACTTTTTTTTTATAATTATATAAAAATCCTAAAAAAACTAAAATTGCATAGGCGCAACTACCCAAGAGCACTTGGATGAGATGTTAATAGATCTCTTCCAACTTAACCAGAGGTCCTGGATTTGATCCCGATCCTGGGCATACAATAATGTTAAATTCTCTCGAGGGAGAGATTTCCCATCCATTGAGATCCTACCCGTCTTGAAGAATTAGTCTATGTAGTTGCACACAAAGAATCTCTGATTTCTAAAAAAAATTGCATATGTGCAACTAGCTTAGATTTTTATCGTTCTTGTAAATACTACATGGACACTAATAGACAAAATATCATTATTATAATAAAGATAAAAGTCGACCAAAGAAAACTCAAACTCTATCAAATTACATAATTTTAATGATTGTGATTCTTAGAGTATCAAGACTTTTGCTGAAGGGATTATTATAGCTTCAGAAAATAGCAATAAAAAGATTAATGTGATAGTTAAATATTTTTAACCAATCACCTGGACATCACCTTTAATAAAACACCTTCTACATAATATATAATAATCTTAATGAAGATACCATAAAAATTATATAATGAATATGAAATATTATTGTTATTAATTATGTATGAAATAGATAAAATAATAAAATGTTAATATTACATTTTTATCATAAATATACAAAATTATTAGTATGAGAATTTTAACTCAATGTTTCGTTATGAAGGTGTGATATAAAGGTATGAAAATTCTGAGTGTAAAATGACTAAGCTATAGTTTTGATATATTAATAATTTAGACAAAGACTGTGAGTTTAAATCCCTTATTAGGTGTTTTGAGACTTAATATATTCTTGAGTCTAAGAATTAAATGAATTAGAGACATTTTGACACCATACTACAAGATTCAACACGATAATCCGTCGACATGGACAATTAAAGAATTTAAAGATAGTTTCGACAATGAGAGCAGTTAGAGGCAGTTCAAGAAGCCAAAGACACGTGGAAATACATTAAAAGACAAACACCTACGTAACTAGATACGTGTCGAGTTCTATAGAAGTAACTGTTTCCGACAATTATTAGTGTATATAATATATAAGTAGATTTGATTTATGGGACAAGAGTTCATATTTTTCATTGTTGTTCTGTATAGAATTTAAACATCCAAATTATATAGCTAAAAGAGTTTATGAAAATTATATAAACTTATGTCACACTTTTAATCTACACATTTTTACTCGATTCCTCTTATAATTTTTTTCATTTACTTTATCTTTTCAAACAATTCTACATTTTAGTTTTTGAAATTTCTATCAATTCCTCTAAATTCAAAGGCTTAACCTTCAAACAAGAATATATTTTTTTAAACTTTTTACGTAAATTATCTTTAAGAATTTTTTTAAATTTAATCTCATAAATGAACTAAAATTTATGATTTGTTTATAACCAATAAACACAAATACACAGACTAATATTTGCCAATATCCTATCATATTTTTATCTAATCTTTTTTATATCTTGTAGCAATCATATCTCTGTGACTATTATATGAATAATTGTGAAATTAGGGTTACGTAAAAAAAAATAGAGATTAAAAAATTACTTTTTATTCTATTTTATTTTGACCAGAGAATTACTTTACACGAATATAAAAGGGTGTTTGAATCATAGTCGACAAAATCCATTTGGTACAGAAAGAGAGAGAGAGAGTGTGTGTGAGAAAGAGAAGGAAGAAGATAGAGTAGAGATGGAACAAGAAGAGCACGAAGTGTACGGTGCAGACATTCCCGACGAAGAGGTTGAGATGGAAGCTGAGATGGAAGCTGAACAACAAGGAGATGAAGAACTTCCCCCTAATCACACAACCAAGGTTAGGATTAGGATTAGGGTTAGGTTTAGGTTTAGGTTTAGGTTTAGGGTTAGGTTACTTCATTGTTAATCTCTCTGTCTAATTTTTTTCTACCTGATTGGATTTTTCAGGAATTGGAGGATATGAAGAAGAGGCTGAAAGAGATCGAGGAAGAAGCTAGCGCCCTTCGCGAAATGCAAGCTAAGGTCGAGAAAGAGATGGGCGCTGTTCAAGGTTTTGTTCTTACGCGAATTTTTGTTTATTGATTGGTTCAGATCTGCTTATCATTTGGTTAGATTATTGTTTTTGAAGGATTTTTTTGATTTTTGATTTTTGGTTTTTAAGATCCTGCTGGGTCTTCTGTGTCTCAAGCTGAAAAGGAGGAAGTGGATGCTCGATCAATCTATGTTGGCAATGTGAGTATTTTCATACGTTTGTTTTTTGTTTATGAATTATGATATGATCATTTCAGATTGTATTTTCTGTTACTCTGTTTTATATTTCAAGTATGATATGAGCATAGTGCACAAGTAGAATGGTTTAGGTGTTTGTTTGTCTGTATTTTCTAGTGAGCTATATGATTGTTTGCTACTTTGTCATTCTGCAATTCTTTTGGTGGTTTTGGAATATAGTGGTCCGTCTTTGTTGCCTAGTTTCATTTTTAGGTTATGTTGTCGATAGCGATGCCATCACAAAATAGCGTAGCTGAGAAGGGGGTGTTATTTAAACCTTCATATTTGTTGTTTTTTGTTTTGATAAAAGAGGGCATCTAGTTTGTGTCGCACGTGTAACCAGTTGGTTTAGTTTGGAGCGAGTCTAGGCTACGTTGTCGGTAGCGATACAATAGTGGAATAAAGTAGCGGAGAAGGGGGTATTCTGCAACACTTTCCTCGTGCTAGCTGCTTTCAGAAACAGCAGCTTTTGCGGTGGCGAAACACGGCGCAACCCCGCACGCTCTCTTCCTGTGTTTGTGTGGAATGGTTGAAATGTGAAAGAGTTTGCGTGGTTTGGTTTAGTAGGTAGTTATTATAGCCCTCAATTTTATTTGTTTTTTTTTTTGTCTCGATAAAAGGGGCATTTAATGCGCACATATAATCAGTCGGTTTAGCTTAGAGCGAGTCTAGACTTCATTATTGATAGCGACACTATCGTAATAGACTAATAGTATAGCAGAGAAGGGGGTGACACTTTCCTCCTGCTTTAAGTTGTGGCTTTTGCTGTCGCGAATCGCGGCACAATCCTGCTCTCTTCTCTGTGATTGTGTTGAATGGTTGAGATGAGTAGGAGATTGTGTGATCTGGTCTGTGATTGTGTGAAATGGTTGAGATGAGTAGGAGATTGTGTGATCTGGTCTGTGATTGTGTGGAATGGAATGGTTGAGATGAGTAGGAGATTGTGTGATCTGGTTTGGAAAGTTATATGGGCCTTGAACTTGGTTGTTTTGTCTCGATAAAAGAGGGCATTTAATGTGTGTTGCACTTGTAACCGATTGGTTTTGTATTGAACGAGTCCGGGCTATGTTGTTGATATCAGTGGCGCAATAGCAGAAAAAACGCAATAGCAGAAAAGCGTAGCAGAGGAGAGGTGTTCTGCAATAATTTCCTCCTGCAAATCGTGGTGCAGTCTCGCTTTCTTCTCTGCGTTCGTGTGCAATGGTTAAGATAGGAAGGAGGAGTTGTGGTCTGGGTTGGAAAGTAGTTATTCGACTCTTCGATTTTGTTGTTTTTTGTTTTGATTAATGAGTGTCTTACATGTAACCGGTTTGTTTAGTTTAGAGTGAGTCTAAGCTATATTGTTGATAGAGACACAATAGGGAAATATCATAGTGGAGAAAGGGTGTTCTGTGATGTTTTTCTCCTGCTGTCTGCTTTCAGTAGTGGCTTTTTCTGCTGCAAATTGCGGCACAATCCAGACCTCTTCTGCGTTTGTCAATGGGTGAGAATTGTGATGGGTGAGAATTGTGATGGGTAAGAGGTTGCGTGGTCTGGTTTGGAAAGTAGCAGCTTTTGCTGCTACAAATTGCAGCGCAATCCAGATCTCTTATGCGTTTGCCAATGGGTGAGAATTGTGATGGGAAAGAGGTTGTGTGGTCTGGTTTGGGAATTAGTCATTCGACCCTTCATTTTTGGTTGTTTTTTTGTCTTGATAAAAGGGCATTTAATGTGTATCACATGTGTAACCAGCCAGTTTAGTTTGGAGCGAGTCTAGGCTATATTGTCGATGGTGACACAATTGTGGAGCAGAGAATGGGTGTTCTGTGACGCTTTCCTCCTGGTAGCTGCTTTCAGAAGTAGTGACTTTTGCGGCCCCAATCACCGCTCCTCTCTCTCTTCTGCGTTTGTGTGGAATGGTTGAGATGTGGAAGAGGTTGTGTGGTCTGGTTTGGAAAGTAGTTAATTGAGCCTTCAATTTTGCTGTTTATTGTTTCGATTAGAGGGGCATTTAATGTGTGTTGCACCTTGGATTAGTTTGGAGCAGGTCTGGTTGGTTTAGTTTGGAGCAAGTCTGGTTGGCTTAGTTTGAAGCAAGTCTGGGCTATGTTGTCGATAGCGTCAAGCAAATTAATGTAGCGGAGAATGGGCGTTCTGCAATGATTTCCTCCTGCTAGCCACGTTCAGAAGTAGCGATTTTTGTGGCTGCAACTTGCAGCGCAATCCCGCACTCTCTTCTGCGTCTGTGTGGAATGTTTGAGATGGGAAAGAGGTTGTGTGGTCTGGTTTGGAAAGTAGTTAATTGAGCTTTCAAGCTTGCTGTTTTTTGTCTCCATAAAAGAGGGAATTTTAATGTGTTGCATGTGTAATCGGTTGGTTTAGTGTGGACTGAGTATGCGCTATGTTGTCGATAGCGACACAGTAGAAGAATAGTGTTGAAGTAGCGGCTTTTGGGCTGCAAATCACGGTGCAATCCCGCTGTATTCTGTGTTCCTCGATTTTCAATTGAAATCCCCCAAGTCTTGCAATCTTTGAAGCTCCGGCTTTGCCGCAATGTAGTTGGGGTTGGGAGTGGCAGTATCATTCCATGATTGTGAAAATCACAACGAAATCGGGAGTCAACTCGTAGCTGTATTTTTCAGATATTTTTCGCAAAAAAAACCTGTTTTTTTATCAAGGGATCCGGGCCAGGATTGGTGGAAACTTAGAATTGTTTGTGCGATGGTGATGGCTGTCTTTTGCGATCTCTTCCTTTTAATATTCAGAGTTTGCATACTTAGGGTTTTCTAACTGGACCAAGCAGGCCCAATTTCCCTCCTTTTTTTAATTTTTATTTTTCTTAAGGGGTCTGTTTTTTTGACATACTGAAGGGTCTATGTGGTTAAGGCTATAGATAAACTTTAGAATTTCTGCGATCTGCAATTAACTACACATGCTCCATTAGTTGAAATATATATAACCCTAAATGGACTTCAGTTTCAATTTCGTAAGCCATTAAAACTAAGGATGAGAGTTACTAGATCGATTGGTTAATTACCAGAATGTGATCACGGAGACCTGTCTGACTAAATCCTAGATCCATATTATCCAGACTTTCTAAAATACCCAGGCAAACTTATAATAAACCAAATCTGTACATCTTTTTAATGCTGTAAGACCCATCCTTTGTAACTGCTACGGTAAACATATGATTGGATTGCTTGTATTCTATACGAGGCCTGTTCTGCATGGTAAATGCTTATTTGCATTTTAAGCACTTAAATTTTATCGGAGTATAGTCAAAACTCAATAATATGCGAAAGAGGGAGACCTAAAAACTGTATGCCAAACCATCAAGAGAGACCCAAAATTATATGGACTATTTTGTATATATGGTCCATAACAGAATACGGTGTCACTGGATCCATGTAGCCGAGTCCACCTTGTGGGAGTTTTGGTTGTTGTTGTCTTGGTCCTCTTGTCTCTTGCAACTATTAAAGACCCCAAAAATATTTGATTACTTGCTCAAGACTGATTCTGGTGCCTCACAGTCACACATCTAAAGCATTTTTTACTCTTTTTATGCGTAAATTTTAATGTCATTTTCATCTTAAAAAACTTTTACCGAGTTTTGTAATTCATCAAAATTCTTTCCAAATTGTGATTCAGGTCGACTACGCGTGTACGCCTGAAGAAGTCCAACAGCATTTTCAGTCCTGTGGTACTGTCAACAGAGTTACAATATTGACAGACAAATTTGGTCAACCAAAAGGATTTGCTTATGTAGAATTTGTTGAGATTGATGCTGTTCAAAATGCACTCATTTTAAATGAAACTGAATTGCATGGCCGTCAGCTAAAGGTATTTTTATCTGATTTTATGTGTAAACTCAATTAATCACTCCACGTTTCCATTTGGTTTTACTTTAATTATGTTTTTTCCTTTAGGTGTCTGCAAAACGTACAAATGTTCCTGGATTGAAGCAGTACTTTGGAAGAAGACCTGCTGGTTTCCGTGCTAGGAGGCCTTTCATGCCTGCACCATTCTTTCCACCATATGGTTACGGGTAAGCTATCATTAGAAACTGAATAAAATACAATATTTACCTAGGATTAATTGTTTTCATGCCTGCACCATTCTTTCCACCATATATGGTTACGGGTAAGCTATCATTAGAAACTGAATAAAATACAATATTTACCTAGGATTAATTGTTGCCTTTGTTTCTGCAATCCACTTTGGAAATTTTGATGTCTTAAAAAAAGTTAGTAATATGTTTACTCTGTTTAAATGGTGCTTCACATCACGCGATTGCATGTACACACACCCAAATGAAACGTAATACTTGTAGGTTTTGACTGACGGAATCAACATTAGGCTTTTGGTTCGTCCTATTTGTCATTCTTTCTTTGATATTATAAAATGTTATTTTATTTCTTCATAATCCAGAAATTGTTTAATTATTACTATATTGATTTCATGAATGTTTTTATTCTTCACAGCCCTTGCTTTATGTTTAACTACTAACAATCATATTTTCATGTAGAAGGGTTCCGAGATATAGAAGACCGACGCGATACCGACCATACTAGCTCTTATTCTCAATTTAATAGGTGGTTACATCTTTATGATAAAGAGAAAGGACAGATCACTATTAAATTTTCCATTGTGTAATAATGTTTAGTGATTGAACAAGAACATGAAACTTCTTTTTACACAGGGGAAGTTAAATGTCCTTGACTTTTAAGGATGTATACATGTATGATATCGACAAAGTAGGTTGGTCTCTTTGTTATGAAACTCTGAGTCCTTGGTGCTGGAGGTTTACTTATGCATAGTTGAGGCAAATATGCAGGGAAATTCTCAATTACTAAGTTAATTAGTTTGAACTTTTAGATTAGACCATTCAGTTCAATGTTGGTTTTGTTGTCTTATTGTTTTCAGAAAAGTTGATATGAATTCTTTGAATTGGTTATGTGCTTTTGGAAACAATTTTAAAGCTACTTTGAAGTAGGTTTATTGTATGCCTTATATTAATATTTTGGAAAAATATTGGTCAAAAAGTTGATTATGTGCTTAGAAGTGATGTCCTTTTGTGGATACGGTAGAAAAGTCTATCTACAGCATCCGCATGAGGATGGTATAAGTCATTTCTCAGAATAATTTTTTTTCCACATCTTTTACACTTTTTTAAATTAGATTTGGCCTTTTTAATTTTTCTGTAAATGTCATCTAGATTTTAATTTTTTTTTCTGTGAATGTCATCTAGATTTTAGAAAAGGAAACTTGAAAATATTTTCTGAAATTGAGAAAAATCCTTGTTTTATGAGAGGATGCTCTTTGGTCTAACTACTGGTTATCGACAGTTCAAAATAGTTTGTTTAATATTTTAACAGTGCTGATAGGTGATAACACTCACTTCATGAGGTGAAATTGTTGTAGAACCTCCTATTGATAACACTGTTAATTGAGTTTTTTTTCTTTCTTTTTATGAAACTTTCAAGCTATATTTAGAATCACGCGTTTTCGTTTGATACATAAATGAATGTTATTTTTTCTACTCAAATTTAGGCGATGAATTTTTTTCTATGACACAATCTTGCATACCAAACATTTTTCTTCTAATAGTAAAAAAACGAGATGAACTAATTCTATAAAATGATTTGCAATTCTTCAGAAAAAAAAACTGAGCAAGATGGACGTGTTGCCTAAATTTTGATCGGATTCAATCGGAATTCACTAATCTTATAGTCTTGATTCATAACATGGGTGTAGTTAAAAGTTTATGGAATTTCTTTTCGCACCCCTTTACCTTTTCATAGGTCTTTGGCAAAATATCACAAATATCTCGTATTTTCAGAGATACATCTTCGAATGCAACATTTTTTATTAGCTTAAATGCAGTTTTGACCCCCTAGTTTAAGGTTTTTGGAGTTTCGATCTCCCTAGTTTAAAAGCCAGGTTTCTAGTCCCCAAAGTTTTCAAATTTGGGATTTTTAAAGCCCCCTCCATCTGGCTGCCCAAAAAGTGACATGGCAATGCCACGTTTTTTTTTTTTTTTTTTTTAATTTTTTTTTTTTTTTTTTTTTTAAAAATTTTTTTTTTCTCTTCTCCTCATGGGCAAAATTAAGGTTCGAAAGTAAAAAAAAAAAAATTTTTTTTTTAAAAAAATAAAAAGAAAAAAAAATTTAAAAAAAAAAAAAAAAAAAAAATACGTGGCATTGCCATGTCACTTTTTGGGCAGCCAGATGGAGGGGGCTTCAAAAATTCCAAATTTGAAAACTTTGGGGACTAGAAACCTGGCTTTTAAACTAGGGGGATCGAAACTCCAAAAACCTTAAACTAAGGGGGTCAAAACTGCATTTAAGCCTTTTTTATTTTATCTAAACTAAATTCGGAGATACACATGCTAAAGTATATTTTGGAGATGTATATTCGAAAATAGTCTGATATTAAAAATCAAACAAAAAATCAGAAACATGATAGTATGATCAAATTAAAAATCAAACAAACACTAACACCAACTTGACATTAAATTAAAACACACAACAATACATAGATAATCATTAAAATAAATTCAACATTACATATTGTTATAAACGAGACGTTGCAACATAATGATTATATCATCGACGAATCTTTGAATCCTCGCATCTACTTCAATCGTACCCTTTGATTCATAACGGTGAAAAACACTCCATATAAAATTTAAATCTCCATCTGTCTTCGGTTCAAAGTTGGTGAAATGGACATTCTCTTCGTTGTCAAACGAGGGTGACCGATACTCGAGCATGACAACTCACTCGAGCATGACAACTCAACAATTTTCTAGAAAGCGCAGTAGACTATTCAGTTGGAATATCAGATCTGCGAGGGATGTTTCCTCGGTGATCCTAAATGAAAGTGGTGACTTCTCTCCATTGAAATACACAAATGCAAGGTGAGGATATGCATTTATTCTCTGATTTTAGTGTGTTGTGTAGAAAAAATGGATTGAGAGACATCTTATTTATACAAGTACTGAATCACTTTGGACCTTAGAAACATTATCATGTTATCATGTAACTTTTCGGATATGTATCTCCGGTTAAACCATAATATTTTTTTTACTAAAATGGTGACTTCAGAGATAAATATCCGAAAATGTCACTGATTGTTTTTTTAATACATGAAGTTTATTCGGATATGTATATCCGAAAACATACTTGATCCAGAAGAAAATCAGAAACTTAGTATACAAGTACATACAATGGAAACAATAAAAGTTTTAATCAAGAACTACACCATCATTACTGAGGTTATGTATTATTTATGTATTAAATCACATCAAGATTACATTGTTGACGATAAGACATTAAAAAAAGTGTATCGATTACAATTAAAAATGCATCAAAAGATCCATCACCGCATAAATCTATAATTGATTCTACCTTCGACTTTCCCTGATTTGATTCTCTTTCAAGCTCGCTCAATTTGGTGAACTCTTTCATCCTCTCAGAAATTGATCCGGTCAAGTTTCAGCCTCTTTTGTTGAATGTGTCGTCCACTCCAACGATATATTTGGTATTGGACACCCCGATTTATAAAAAAAAACCTCAACAAAATGTAGTGATTTTGAAAGCCATCCTATGCACATGATGCGTCTGGAAGGGTCTTTAGATGAATCATTTGAAGTGAAAAAAATGTCTCAGAGAATCCATATCTTGTCAGATTGATACACACCTTGTCATATGCACTTTCTATAAGATGACCCATATCAGAAAAGTGCATCCATTTTGAAAACGGCGCGAGACCATTAACACAAGGAGTGAGTGTATCTTGAATTGGTTAAAATGTTTTTTTTGCCCCGTGTAAATTTATGTAGAATTCCCCATGTGTCGCCAACTCTTTCAAAAGGGATTTCGTCGTTAACTCTTTCAAAAGGGCTATACGGACAAGACATTGATTCTCCTCTCCTTTGCCGAGCAAGCTGAATACGAACCGAAAGTCGCAATTACCATCATCCTTAACATTTACAATCCGCTCAATGTGTTTGTGCATAAAAAGCGAAATTTCTTTAATAAATTGAATCTTCGACATCAGTGGTGAATGAGGTGGTTTGCTAATGCAAGCACACTTGTACATTTTTTTTGAGATTTTGGAGTTAGAGAATCCGGAAAATATGAATCATATTTAAAGTATGATGGAGATCGCTTTGTTGAACTGTCATCTTGAGTCAATTTTATCTTTTTAGGAGTACCTTTAGTTTTAGCCGAGTTTGAAGGAGGTTTCAAATTTGACAAATAAGGATAGTTTTCAATGGAATGAAACCGTAGAGAAAACATTTGACAACTCAAACTTTTTGTGATAACCACATCAATGTTGACACTTCCAAAATTTAAGATTCCCTTCGAAATTGAGTGTGGTGCCTCTGGCTAAGGGGTTGGACTAGTGTTGATGCAAAAGAAACACGCTATTGCATATTTTAGCAAAGCTTTCTCATAAAGTAAATTATGAAAGTCTGCTTATGATAGGAAATTAATAGGTTTGGTATTGGCGACCCCGCACTGGCATCTTTACTTGTTGGGTAAGAAATTCATCATTTTTTCATATCAAAAGAGTTATGGAACTTAATTCACCAACACATCACTACAACAAATCAACAAGACATGTCTCTAATTTTCTCAAAAATTGTTTTCCTTTTCAAACTTCTAGGTTTCCCTTTTGCCTCCAACTTGCACACACATATATATACTTCATACATGCATCTTTTTCAATTTGATGAAATTATAAACACATATTAAGATTGCTCATCTTCTTCAACCTTGCATCTATGCATACACATAAACAAAGTACACATAATCATTCATTATTTGGGTGCCATATAGACTTGGTTGATAACGTTCAATTTAGGTTGGTTGTAACTTAAGGTTGGGTTGAGAATCATAGGGGGTTTCATCGAAAACGGAGAGAGTTTTTACCTTACGATGAAAGTGTATATTTGAGGTTTTTTTTACAAGGTTTCGCAAATATTGGATTCGATCGAGTGAAAGGATTTGAAGAACGGGGGGTTCTTGCAAAGGAGTAGCGTGAGACGATGAATCATTTGGAAATCTTGAGTGACAACAACTTGTGATTTGGATTCAGTCGAGTGAATTGCTTTGAAGATTAATGGTTTCTTGCAAAGGAGTAACGCGGAATGGTAGATCAAATTGGTATTGTTGGGTGACTTGATCAAACTCAGATCAAAGGAATAGAAATTTCTAGGATCAACATCAAACATAAGATTTGTAGAGTTGAATTGCTACATTTCTCTTGTAAACAACTTTTTGCATAGTAAGAAATTTATCTCAATTCCAAACGGAATTGGGGGGAGGCGTAGCTATAACGAGAACGATTGGTGAACTTCCTAAACAAATCCTCTCTCTCTCTCTCTCTCATTTGATTAGCAATTTGTTAAACTCTTTGTGTGTGCAATTAATTTGTATAGAAAAATCCGTTGATTGTTAAATTGTTTTGTTAACTACCTTACAATCTATTGGACTGTAAGAGGTATTTCATACCAACAAGTATTCGATAAATTGTTTCACTTAATTTTACCAATTGCACATTA